TGGCCGGCAAGCCTTCGGCCAGAGCAGCGGCGAGGAGCAGACGTGCTCTGCAGGATGCTGCAGGCAGGGATTCCCTGAAGCGCACGTGACGCCTGGAGCTGCTCCTGGCACAGATCGGGAGGGCTGGCCCCGGTCTGCGCAGGGAGCACGGCTTTGCTCCCCACCTGCAGCCCAGCCTAGAGCGGAGCTGAAAAAGCTGGCAGAGAGGCGGCTGCGCAAGCCCCTTGGACACACCACCAGCCTTTCGGCACAGCAGGGAAACCGCAGCTCTCCCCAGCGAGCTCTGGGCCCCTGCACTGACTGACCACAGGGCAGCACCAGGGTCTCCTCAGCCCCCCCTAGACCTCCCCCTGCACCCCCACCATGGGCACCATCAGGCTGGGGCAAGGGATTGCTGCTGCAGGCGTGGCCCTGGGCTGGAGCTGCCCAGGGAGGGCAGCACAGCGCCCAAGGTAACCCCGTCTCCCCCAGGACTGCTCCTCCTCACATCCTTCCTCCTGCACGTGGAAGAGGGCCATGCCAGCCCAACACGGCTGGTCTGCGACAACAGACTCATCCAGAAGTACATCGGGGAGGCCAAGGACATGGAGAAGAGAGCGGTGAGGATACGGTCCCCCCCAAAACCCCAGGCCAGGGACAGGCACAGCTCCTGGTGCCTCACCTCAGCATCTCCTCTCCCCCTTAGGGCCATTGCCAGGCACTGCCCGCACTCAGCTGCCCCACGGTGCTGCCCTTGGTGGACTTCAGCCTCCAGCAGTGGAAATCCAAATCGGTGAGAGGGGCTGGGAGCATGGTGCTGGCACCGGGGCGCCCACAGGGCTGGAGAAGGAGCCCCCGGGTTGGCACAGGCACCAGAGGTGCTGAACAAGATGCCTGTGGGCATGCCTGGCGGCACGGGGGGGGGAGGAGGACCCCATCCAGACGTAGGGTGGGCAGAGGAATAAATCAGGCCCGGGGGCCAGCCCGCTCACTGCCTGCTCCCCCAGAACGAGATCAAGCGACGGGAGATCCTCTGCGACCTGGCACTGCTGGTGGGCGCCGTGGCGGGGGCCCAGGGCCAGGTGACCCAGGAGTGCGGGGCCAGGCAGCTGAGCCAGCTTTACCGACACGCCAACTCCTTCATCCTGCTCCTGCAGACCTTCAGCTGGGAGGTGAGACCTCCTCCACACGAGCCAGGCCACCCTGGCGCAGGGGCCAGCTGTGCCGGGCACGATGGCCTTGTCACTGCCTTGTCCCACTCTCGCCCCTCAGGCAGGACCCTGGGAGCCGGGCTGCTCCCCACGCTCCATGGAGCAGACTCACATCACCGGCATCTTCCTCACCTACCGGCAGCTGGTGCAGGGCAAGCTACGCTTCTTCTTCCACGACCTGGCCAAGGACTTGTGCAAGCAAGGCCAGGCGGGTGGGAGAGACCCTCAGTGCGGGGCCCGGTGAAGCCGTGCAGGGGGTTCACCCCCAATCCCAGGTCAGAGCAATCCTGCTGGACACTGAGCTGTGCCCTGGGTGCCCAGGAAGGTGCTCGCAGGGAAAGGGTTGGCTCCTGTTCCTCAAGCCTTCGACAACCGCGCGGCGCACAGAGGCAGAGAGCAGCGACACCCGTGCACCAGCAGGCGCAGGCCCTGCTCCCACCCGGGCAGGCACCTCTACTGTGAACGCTTTACAATTAAAGAGCTATTTTTCTAAAGCGTTGTTTGCGTCCTCCTCTTCCCCTGCCGCTGTGGCCCTGACAGGGGGACTGCACGCCCCCAGGGGCCTCAGTAAGAGGCAGCGCCTCGGGGACGTGCTCCGGGTCTCTCCCCAGTGCCCAGCTCCCTCCTGCGCCAGCTCTGCAGGGCAGAGAGGCTCCATCGGGCACCAGGTCCCCACTCGGAGATGCGAGCTACCACTCCTCCCCCCCTGCACCCACCTGCCTCTCCCTAGCCCCAGCGTGCACCATGCCCAGAGGGGTGGCAGAGCAGAGCCCGGGGCAGGTTTGGACTGCCCGTCCTTCGGGAAAGTGGTACTTTGCCCCCACGCAGGCGTACCTGCTCCCCGCCAGCCTCGTATCTCAGCCGACAGAGCCAGATCTACAAAACACATCCCAGTTTAATCAAGAACAAGCCCGGCCTGCCTCAGGACGGCTCCTTAGGAAGCGGTCCCCAGCCCCGAGGCAGACAGGCGACTGTCCCAGTCCCGCTGCCCCCGGCCAGAGCCGGGGCTGAGCCTGCTTTTGAAGCACAGGAAGGCAGAGGTGGGAAGAGGTGCCCAGCAGGCAGGACTGCGGAGCACCCAGCAGGGTCTCCACTCGGTTGTCAGGCACCTCTCTCCACGCAGGAGGCGGCTGCGGATCCCAGCAGGAGTCAGAAGAGGCCAGGATGAGGAGGGGCACTGCTCCCTCCTCCCCAGCTCCGGAGGGGCCAGGCGGCATGGATGCTGGGGCAGGATTTGGGGTCACAGGGCTCCTGTTTGCTCGCCAGCAGAACGTCTCTGGAGCAGCCCACGGAGGCAGGAGGTCCCCTAGAAGGCCAGCTTCTTCATCAGCAGGTAAACTCGAGAGTCCACTTCAAACCCATGCAGGTTGTTTGCGTCTCCCTGCAGCCGCATGAGCAGCCCCCCGTAGGACACGTAGGCAGAGCTGGGGCGGGAGGAGAGGAACAGTGAGCGTGGGGAATCCCACGGGAGACCCGGGCTGGGATCCCGGTGCCTCCCCCACACCCCCCCAGGGCACCGAGTCCCCCCCACTCCTGCCGACGGGCACTCACAGGCGTGTGGCTGCCTCCGTGGAAGTCTCGTCCCCTTCGATCCTGTACACCTTGCCATACATCACATACTCGAACTGGTCCGCCCTGCGACAGGATGGCAGGAGCTCAGAGAAGAGTCAAACCTGGGTATTCCCCCAGCTGCACGTCCTTTGGGAGAAGGTACCTCTCGGCACTTCACCTTTTCCCTCATCCACCCCCATGTGGGTCCCGGCTGGACCCCCGTACCTGGATGGCCTGTCGTCCGTGGGGTTATACTCGCCGTCATCCAGGGTGCCGTCTTCGTACAAGGTGCTGGCGATGACCAGGCGGAATTTGTCCCCTGGGAGGAGAGGGTAGAGGAGCGGTGAGAAGGCGGGGGGCGCAGCCAAGAGCAGCAGCAGCCACAGCAGATCTCGGGGTGGTGGCAAGGAGCTGCCCTGGCAGGTTTAGCACAAATCCCGTCCCTGCGTTCAGTCCTCCAACACGACTGTGGGGAACGAGGAAAAGATCACACTGGATCCTCTGTCTCCCTGTTCCTCACAGACATTGGTCACCACCATGGAGGAGACCAGAGCCACCAGGACACCACTACTGCTGTTTTCACGGGACCCAGCAAGAAATTTGCAGGGAGAGTCCCAGAGGGCTTAGCTGGACCCTGGGCAGGTACGCGAGACCCTGCAGCACCAGTTCCAGCCCTTTGTGCTTCATTTAGGGTAAGACTCTTTTCCACCCTTTTAGTACATTTAGCCACAGAAGCTCATTTCAAAAGGTCTCCCTCAAAGCTTGGCTGCCACCAGCTGAGGCAGTTTCACTAGACAGCATCGCTGGGGAACGGGCCAGCGATGAGCCCAAACAAATACAGTGAGGTGAACCAGAATCCAGCTCAGCCCCAGCACACAGAGTGCCCAGTACCTCCTGTGAGCTGGGGACAGCACAATGTCA